GCCTCATTCACAGCATGCAGGACCGCATCAATGCTGTTATTAAGGCAGATGGTTACCAAACAAAATACTAGGCTTTTACAAGTAAAATGAGCCATAAACCATTTGATTTAGTCTATTATTGGTGATGCTGCAACTACTCAAAGTTGTAATGGAAATGTTGGTGAGGTGGCTCGTGCCGATGCGCGCCCAGATTAAAGGAAGGTGACTGTAATAGCCGTCTAGCCGGAGGCTGTGACAACTGAGGGCAATGAGTAGTACAGAGTATACTGTCTGGCTCAAGAGCGAGTGAGATTCCAATAACAAAGTCGATTGACAAGGTTGAACACAATGCCATAAGGGCAGCATGTCTACTTGCTATATACTTGAGCAGAGGATTGCTCATATCGCTCGGTACTGAGTATACTGATCATACCAAGTATACTGCTTGTACTGAGTGTACTGACCGTGCCGAGTATACTGCTCATACTGAGTATACTGACCGTGCTGAGTATGCTGCTCGTGCTGAGTATACTGCTCGTGCCAAATATAGTGCTTGTGCCGAGTATTGCCAACACGGCCTCACTGCTTGGGTTGATTGAGTCGCTTGAGTTGCTCAACTGAAAGTGATGATCATACTGAGTATTGCCAACACGGCCCCACTGCTTGGGTCGATCGATACTACAGTTCCTCAGCTCCTCTCATATCGTTGCGTAGTCCTGTTTGTTCAGTGTTGTTGCGGGTTGCCCTTTGATTGTAACAGGGTGGTACTGAACATCATAAATCACAGCTACTGTAGGCACAAGGCAGTGGTAGAGGGAGCGGAGCAGAGAGGGTGGAGGGATGTGTTACAATCCTACGTCCTGCGATAGGATGGCAGAAGCAATAAGTAACCACCAACCAAACACAGAAGCCTGGGGGAAGGCGCAGCACAACAAGGTTGCCCGGCCGGCGCCTAATGGGTTCAGGCAGACTCACATGACAAGCTTGTCAATGAGCAAGGTCACGTGAGTGCTCATCAACAAGCATGATGCGATGCTCATCAATGAGCATGACGCAATGTTTGTCAACGAGCATGATACAATGCTTGTCAACGAGGTGCAGTTCATCTGGATAGGCCAGGACCAAATCCACTTGTCCACAAGCAGGATCTGGTGGATTGTATATAAGCACATAGGAACACAACCCTTATGGTTTGTGTTCAACCTTGTCAATCAACTTTGTTATTGGAATCTCAACCGCTCTCGAGCCAGACAAACTACTCTGTACTACTCATTGCACCCAGAGGCCACGGTCTTTGACTAGACATCTACCCTGATCACCCCGAGCTTTGCTTAAGTGATCATGTTACGGTACTGAAGATAATCGGTATTGGGCAATGGATATTGAGGTTCACTGAAGTTGTATTGAACTCGAACTGTGTGTTTATATACTGTGAATGAACGGAAAGAAGAATTGACTGTGAAGCTGTTATGTTACTGTTACTGTTTGAAGGAGTCTGGTCCAGTTGGTCCTTTTACTCAACCTCATACAGTACTGTAACATGACCTCTTACTGTACTGTGACTCATCTCTTACTGTACTGCGACAGATCAACCCCTTGTTCCTTCACACTACACTTATCCCTGAGAACCAACCCAAGTAGTGCCTACGAGCTTTGCTTAAGACACAACCTCAACAGATGTTGGCACCATCGAGGTTCAGACATATCTTAAAGTCGTATCTGCAGGGCACAAGGATTCTCAACTCGCTGCTGTTGGGGCCATCAGGGTGGTGAAGTGGTGGGACATTCTACATTGCATCAGTGAAAAGTCCAAACAAACTAGGTCTTGAATCAGAAAAGAGCAGACGTACAGCACCTGAGGACCGGCAGGAGTGGCAACGAGGTGCCGGAATGGTCTTCTTGTGTCAGGCCTGGCTGATGATATAGTACTGTTCCGACTAGAGCTCACCATTAGAGTGAGCCGTGATACCTTTTGGCTTGCTTGGCTCAGTGGGCCGGACCTGAGTCTTGACATTGGGTAGGGGTTGGGTTGGGGTTGGGGTAACACACGACTGTACCCAACCCCTACCCATTTGCCAGCCTACACAGAAGGACCAAGGAGTCCACATCATCTCAGGTCCCTAGTACTCATAGTGTTGTAGCAAACTAAGAGCTTTGCCCTTACTTTCTCCCCTGCGTTTGGTGACTAAAGCATCACGGAGACCATCATTTTCAGCCCTCAGAAGCTGGTTCTCTATAGCAATGTGGTGGAGTGATTGCCGAACAGTATTTGTGTCCTTCTTAGAAGCACTACATAACACGCGCCTTGCAACTTGGTCCAGCAACCTCTACTCATCTCTGCTGTATGTAATAGCATTGCTATTGCTATTGTTATTGATGAATTGTTTGAGTATGACATCAGGGTTGAACGGGCCTACACCTTTGCCTCTGAAGGAGCTCAAAATGTTCTTCTCTGAGAAGCTGATCACCCAAGCATCCCAGAACCGCTTGAAGAAGTGCTCTTCCCCACAGGAACTAGCCCTTGATGCTTGAAGACACGTTGTTGCAGCTTCTTTGAGTATGCTGTACTGAGGGGCTTGAACATCACCATGCCAAGTGGCTGCAGTGTGTGGGTACTGTGAGGCGGGTACACAGCTAGTAGGATCTTGTGCCAGTGGCAATACTCCAGGAACTCCTCAGTAAGGTGACTCCCATGGCCATCTACAAGCAACAGGCGGTACTTTCTCCGATTCGAGCTACAGTTCTGTTTAGTACTGTACGGAAGACTCACGACAGCGATCACGTCCTTGGGCAAGTACTGTACAAAATGTTCAACAAGACTATTTATTACACTCAACGTCGTCCGACATCAAAGTGGTACAGACAAGCAGGCCAAAGCTTTCCGTCAAGCTCTCTCTCATCTCCGCACTAACTAAGTTGAAATAGCGGATTGGAATCTCCTCAAGACCCGAGTATATGCTAAGCTACTAATGCGCAGCGACGACACCTCTATGTTTGACAACGCACTTCGCATCTATCAGAAACGTGAACAGGTTGACCTTTACAACCATCAGCGCATGAGGAATCTCAACAAGCCTATTCCGCTTCTTCAAGCTGATCATGGTGGCTATGGAGCTGAGAAGGGCTCTGTTAATGATGCTGGGAACCTTGAGAAGGTCATCCCTGTCGCAATCAACTGTCGCATCATGTTGCGAGAGAGCGTCTGGGCTGAACAGGTTTTTTTTTAACAGTGCCAGAGGTACAGTGCGAGATGTTGTATGGTCAGCCGGAGCAGATTGGCACACTAGCTCGCCGCTTGCTCTCTTAGCGGAGTTTAACATGTACGAAGGTCCCATGTTTGCAGTTGATCCTGTCATGACACGAAAGCTTGTCCCAGTGTTCCGGTATACACATGGTTGGACGCGTGGTTCAGTTCAGTGTAAGCGTACGCAGTTCCCCATCGAAGTAGCTTACGCTACCACTATCCACAAGGCGCAAGGTATCAGCATTGACAAGGAGGTCTTAAATCTGTCTGGTGAGGATGACTTTTCGCCAGGTCTCACATACGTCACTATATCCTGTATCCGGTCACTTGACGGTCTACTATTTGAGGAGCCTTTTTCGTATCAGCGACTCCGTTTCAAGCCAACTGAGACTACTGTGATGCGCAACACCGATTATGAGCGCCGAAAAGCTCAAGAAATCCCATTGCCGCTAGACCTTATTGATCCAAATGTTCCTTCAGACAACGAGTTCGACGACGATGACCTTCCTTACCTCCCCAAAAGCGCTTCTCAGATCCCAAGTTTCAGTTGGGAATTTGCTCTGATCCTGACAGTCGCTCAGGCGTCGGTGCAACTAGTGGAGGTGGAGGTCCTCTCGGCAGCGAAGTACCACCACTTCCTCCAGGCAGTTATCCTCCTCTCCTTCCTGGTATACCCATAGGACGAACCCAGAACCCAGGCGAGGCGTGAGTGGGGTGGTTTCGATGCTCTGGAGAGAGGTGCCAGTATCCCCGTTTAGACTCTGTACTTTTTGGCGTCGGTGAGTACTGGCGTCATTGGTGCAACTACTGTTACTACAAGACTCTATGGGAGGATCCTGACGATCCAGAGGACTACTCAGCCCAGTTGATGCAGGAGGTGTATTGCATCCCTAGTAACCATCCTACTCTTCTTCAGGACTTCTGCCATGGCGAAACGCCTGGAGAAACAGGGGAAGATCTTCAGTATGGGTGTGTAAAGTGTTATGGCGAAGGTCTTACAGATAATGGCGTGCGGTGGACGCAGGATCCGGTCCCGTTGGCAGTACCCAGTGATAATAAAATGGAGGAGTAGTCTGAGCGGGTTTCTGCTCGTCAAGGCCTGCCTTGACATCAATTAATCACGCTTCACATCAGATTAATTGCTTTCATCCGAAGAATGAGCAGCTAGCGCTGGGAAAAATTTGGAACCTGTTCACGTTCCAACAGAGCTGCGTTTTTAGCTATGTTGCAGGTACAATAATATTCTACTGTCCACTCATATTCATGGTAGATTACAACACGTCCAGATTGGTTGGTGGCAAGCTCTTACAAACGTTAATTTTTCAATGGTAAAAGCTACGACGGGTGCAGGGACGTGGGATTTCTTGACGCTTGTACACGCAAGACTTCTTAGCCTTAGGATCCGACAGAACTATCGGATGCGGAGGGCATGCGCAAGCACGCATCCAAAGAAGGTTATATCGACTAGCCACAACCTGAGCGTATAACGTGTAAAGCGAGGCGAGATACTTTGAAGAACTGTTCTATAGTTCCTCTGCAAGGTGTGTCGGACAGTCGAGACAGGCAACCCCCAATTTATGTTCACAGGACCAAAAATGAATGCGATCCCGCCTTCTTGCCATCCTGTATTGTTGATGTAGGCAGCGAAGACAAATTTTGCGTGCTGGTGAGTCGGTGCCGAACATAGGCCATAGAGGTGGACATGCTTTAACTTGGATGACGTTCACGGTCTGTCTCGAATTGGGCTGATCATCACAAAAATATGCGAGGTCAATGCTTAAAATCGAACTGTATCTGCTTGAACAGTCAGTAACTCATGACCCAATTAATCATAGCTTATATGCGGCCGATGATGACCAGTAACCTCGAGTAGAGATAGATAGATGTGCTATATGCCCTAGGGCCTTAGTACAGATAACAGGCTTCGCTTGTCTCTTCCTATCACCACCTCAACAAAGCCATCCCAAGCCTATCCTTATCACAATTCGTCTTCTGCCGGTGTCCTAGCATACTCTAAGTCGAAAGCGCTCACAGTTTCTACACTGCAATTATGCAGGTCACGACCCTCAAATAGTCCATCAATAAATTCAAGCCACTGTGGTGCAGACGCCCCGGACAACGGTGAATGCTCCAGCCCTGGATAAATGCTCAAACGGACGCGATTTCCAGCCTCACAGGCCTGCTCGTAAGCCTTCACCGTCAGACTAGGAAACACAGTAGTGTCGTTTGCTCCTTGTATAACAAGTAGAGGCCTCGAAGCTTTGTCTCCCTGAGCTGGAGCGTTCAGTTCTTGAAACTCCTTGACAACTGACAATGCATCCTCATCGAGACTTGTAATGATTTCTGCCAATCCAAGGTCGCTCACCACCGCAGGCAAAGCCGCTGCACAGAGCTGTGCGAGTTCGCCCAACTCAAAGCGCTTCTTAGCGAGGGTAGAAAGGAAGGGTGCGGTGTAGTTGGGATAGACAGCCCTCAACGCAAAATATATAGAAGGTATATATCCAGAGGAACCCATCTTCTGCTGATCTTCACTTGACAAACCCGCGGCCATGTTGACAGACTGTGTGATAGCATCGTAGATGCGGGTATTGGGCGCAATCGCGACGCCCCCTAGATATCCACTTTGATTCTTCTGCACCAATTTATGCTCTGATAGCTTCCAGGAAGCACCACCGCCCTGAGAGTGACCGATAGATACCCATTCTCGGGATAGGCTGTGGGGGAAGGCATTCTGGGCTGCAATCGTGGACCAAAAGACGTCGTTGGCATTGACCCTGGCTGAAATGTATTTGTGGGCACTGTAGTTGTTTCCAAGGCCTGCATAGTCTGTTCCAACAACAGCGTAACCGGCGAGTGATAGAGGGATCCAGGTATCGTAGTCGTAAAACGTTGAGGATGTCGACGGGCTGCAGCCTCGGAAAACACCAGAGGTCCCGTGGGCATAAGCCACCAGCTTGAAAGGGTCTTTTTGACGAACGAACGGGAAGGCGATGAACGCGGTGGCAGGAATTGTGGAGTTGTCTAGATCGACTGACGTGTACTGGAATCTGTACGCAGCGATACCAGCCGGAAATTTCGCCAGCTTAGGATCGACTGGCTGAAGCTTCAGAATGTCACCAGGCTTGGAGCCAGAGAAATTTTTGGCTGTTGTATAGAAGTCGAAGTCGAAGGGCATGTCAAAATCTTCCAAGTCCGTGGCACTAGCTGCCTGTATGTTTTCTTGACATGTGCTCCCACATTCATATTGGGCAGCGACGTCTGGGGAAACTGGGAAGTTGGAAGCACGATCCGGTGTGCTGGCATAAACTGCCACAGCAATCAAAAAGATTGTAAATAGAGGCAACATGTCTGGCTCAAAGTGTTAACGACAATGTGGCAATGACCAACTGATTGTTTCCAGGAAGACAGAACGCGTAAGGAGAACGGAGGGATCAAAGCAGATATTATCGAGGACTTTATTCTGGACTACCCCTCACAATGTATCGTATAAATCGAACACCTCGGGAGCGATCCACTCGATTCAGACGAGCCAAAGTTGTTCTGTCTGTATCGGTCTATTCATCCCTACGTACTGCGGGGAAGAGATAGTGGTTACGTTTCAGCTCTTTCCCTTTAAAAACATATTGTACCGCTTCATATATTATCCTGGCGATAACTACACATTATACGCTGAGCCTCGGCTTTCTTATCAGGTGGTGTGCTTTATAATTGGATCTTGGCGTTGCGCGGGCGCGCGGGCACCGGTAAGGCTGAGCTACATGTCGTACTCTCGTATAGTGACCGCGCGCGCGGACACCGAACGCTTTGGGAGCACAGTAGGTGGTTGGAATTTCTGGTCATTTTCGCACCTATGAGAACCATGTTGGATTGACTTGGGCCTCGGTCAAAGCCCAAGGAGAGTGCCTGGCCGGTCCAAGATCTTCAGCAGTGCGACTCAGCTGCATAGAAGACATGTGATATACTGGGGTTGGGTATTGGAGAGATGCGGGGTTGGGGACGGGATTTTGATTGCCATGTCACTTATCGTAGCTTCTATGTTGCAAGCATGGAGAGGGAGAGCAGTATAAAAGGAGGGAGGCAATATCATTTTCTGTGCACTTCCAGCCTTGGAATCATTTCAATTCAGTCTTAAAGTCACGGTGATTGAATTATCAATATGCGATTCCAATACTTCTTCGTTGTTGCTTCTCTGTCGCAATATGCGTTCGCCGCAGACCCGGGCTTACCTATGGATAATCCTACCATCTCCTTCTGGCAGCTGCCTCCCAATCCTGATTTAGCGGACCTACAAAGCAAAACTCTGCCGAGGGATGTGGATGTGGTCATAATCGGCTCAGGAATTACAGGCACCGGCGTTGCCCGTTGGCTTCTTCGTGACGGCTCGCAGGAACGACCACTTCGCATCGCTATGGTCGAAGCACGCCAATCCTGCTCTGGAGCTACTGGACGAAATGCAGGCCACATACGACCACTTCCTTGGGATTACGTCGTGGATAAGCCGATCATTGGTGCAGCTGATGCAGCAAAAATTGCACGACTCAAGGCCAGACATTATTCCGAGTACGCCAAGGCAGCCAAAGAAGACTTAGACGCCGATGGTAGAGATGCTGCTGAAGTGCGAGCTATGGACAGTATTGATGCTTGGTTCACTGATGATGCTTTCAATGAGGTGGTCCAGAAGCTTGAAGTCGTTAAGCAAGAATTGCCAGACATTGGAAAGGAATGGACCATTATCTCTGGAGACGAAGCAAGAGAGGTAAATCTGGCAAACACAATATCGTTACAATACACTGATCGCTGTCAGAAAACACTCATGCCAGGCGTTGTCGGCATCGCCGTACAATCGGTGAAAAGTGGCGGCGCTATGTGGCCCTATCGCTTTGTGACCAATATGCAAGCGGCCTTGCTGAAGAAGTATCCTAGTTTCTCACTAGATACGCATACGCCTGTCCTCAACATCACTTCAAACACCTCCGGCGGCCAAAGCAGGTTCGATGTCGAGACCTCGCGAGGCATAATTCGGACGCGCCATGTCGTCCACGCAGCAGGTGCCTGGGCCCCACATCTGCTTAGAAATCTTGAGAAGCAGATTACCCAGGCACGCTGGCACATGGGTGCCACAGCTGCAGGTGATAGAATTCCAGACGCTGGCCATTGGCCTGCAGTCTCTGGAAACAGCAGCCAGCCTGGAGGCCGTGAATTTGGACTTTGGCGGGACTACTATAGCACGCTCACTCAGCTACCCAAGTCTGGTCTGTTCATTGTCGGTGGTGGAGTCGCGGGTGAGGGTGAAGAAGTGCCACCATGGGATGACCATACGCCTGTGGAGCCTGTCATTGCTTCTTACCTCAACGGAATGATGCCCACCTTCTTTGGCTATGATAACTGGGGCGCAGAGAGACCAGCGACTCCGCCGCAAGAGCACGTATATCCAGGGCGAACAAAAGCTCTTTGGACAGGTGTGGATGCTATATCCTGGGATTCCTATCCTCTTGTGGGAGCTTTACCCACCAACGTGACAGGACGAGAGGCAAAGGACGGTGCTGAGTGGATTTGCGGAGTCTATAGCGGTGACGGTATGCCTTCCGCATGGATGGCAGCGAAGGGTCTCAGCACGGCTATACTCAGTGCTGAGCGCAACGAAGCCAATCAAACATGGCCGGAGTGGTTTCCAAACGCCTGGATCGTATCAGCAGAGCGCCTAAGCAAACCATGCGTAAACAGCACTGATCCTAGCTTAGGAAATCTGTGCCAATAAAGATGTGGTTCTTTAAAGAAGAATAGGCAGAATTATACTAGCTTAGCATTGTTGGAAGCTGCAATTCTTCAGAACCCATTACCTGATTAGTACTAGTCTGTTTAACATAGATCAACCTTTGTAGCTCAACTCCAAAAAATCAACTTAATTCTCTCAACAGGTTATGAGCCTGGCGCTCGCAACACCACATGCTACTTGTTGCATCGCTTTATAACTCATCTACTTCATCATCACAGACAGCTGCTTGCTGACCGTTCACTGCGCACCCCCCACATAGAGCTGCTGCAAGCTCAATGTATTTCTGAAATACATCACACATCACGCATCTACACACCAGCTCTACCCCACCTGAAGTTGTACACCCCACCACGCAAGCAACTGTTGAAGTCGTGTCTTAAGCAAAGCTCGTAGACACTATTCGATTGGTTCTCGGGGATGAGCAGAGGTACAGAAAGCCGTCAGGGGTTGGTTATCACTGAGCGAGCTCGGAGCGGCAGAGGATTGACCGTGATAAATCGCCGTGATAATCAGGGGGTATCACTGAGCGAGCTCGGAGCGGCAGAGGTTTGACCATGATAAACCGCTGTGATAATCAGGGGGTATCACTGAGCGAGCTTGGAGCAGCAGAGGTTTGACCGTGATAAACCGCCGTGATAATCAGGGGGTAGTTGTCTAGTCAAAGACCATGGCGACTGGTTGCAATGAGTAGTACAGAGTATACTGTCTGGCTTGAGAGCAGGTGAGATTCCAATAACAAAGTTGATTGACGAGGTTGAACACGATGCCATAAGGGCAGCGTGTCTACTTGCTTATATACTTGACAGGAGAATTGATTGTACTGCTCATATCAAGTATCGCCAGTGACTTGATACTCGGTCCAATCGAGCGTTGTCGACGTGACCTTGATACTCGGTCCTCGGTGTCCTATTGATCGTTGTCGACGTGGGTCCTCTGCAAGTGGGTCGGTATATGGGTCCGTGATGATTGTTTGTGTACAAGACCCACATTGTATCCACTGCAGTCCTTTTCGTACAATCTCAGTTCGTATAACAGATATTGCGAGTGTTGATTATACTGGGTATCACTGACGCAGCTTCACAGCTCGGTCAATCGATACTGCAGTTCCTTGGCTGCTCTCGTCTCGTTGCGTAGTCCTGTTTGTTCAGTGTTGTTTTGCGAGTTGTTCATGGATTGTAACAGAGGGCTTCTCAGACAGTGATGAAGAGTTGACGTGATATGCTAAGACTGCTAGTGGGTTAGCTTGTTATCACAGCCAATTAACACATACCAACGGCCAGGACTAAGAGGTCAACAGCTCTCCAAACGCTCAATTGACAGTGCATTGGTGTCATCCTGACATGGCTTGCAGCCAACAACAACCCTACCAGTCTTTATACTTGTGTTAGCTCCTATTTGTCAGCACCCATTTGTCAGCACCCATTTGTCAGCACCCATTTGTCAGCACCCATTTGTCAGCTCCCATTTGTCAGCTTGCCACCCATCTAGGTATATGAACCCCCTTCTTCCCACCTCTAGATAGTTCTCACTCATGCTTGCAACTCAATTCAATACTTCAACCTTCACTCCTCAACTCACTCCTTACTGATCCTATGTGGTATCCCCACACTTGATCCCTTCTTTATCACTTATCCTTTTTACCACTTGTGGCATCCCCACACTGGAAGAGCGGATTCAGGGCTAGGGTTAGACCAACCTTAAGAGATAGAATTCTGAGTTTAAGAGCTTAATCTGTAGAGACATGCATTGCAAATTGAATGCACTTCTCCAAATTCTAATCTGAGTTGTGGTTGTTGAGACATGTGTGTTGAAAGCTGGCATTGCCGTGATGTTGAGTCCCAATTAGGCAAAGGGTGCTAAGCGAGGCGCTAGCCCCAGTTTGATTTTTTTCCTCCTGTGCTAGGCCCAATTTGTATTTGATTCCTCATCTCGGCAGAACTCGCTCTGCTTTATGCCTAACACCTCCTTCTATTGCTGCATATATTGTCCACAACACCTATAGGCAACATGCCCCAACCTCGTGGAAGGCCTCGGAAGCACTTAACAGAAGCAGCAGCAGCAGAAGCCAAAAGAGCAAGCAATCGTCGACGGCTTCAACAAGCCCTGGTGCCCAATGCACCAGCTGAGTTCATCCACTACGCACCACTACCCCCAGGCATTCCATCCACTACTCCCTTGGACCTTGGTCTTCGCATTAGTGCTGACATTCCCATCCCTCAAGATCCCCTCATCGAACCAGACAAGGACAAAGAGGATGTGATTTGTCCACCATCCTCTCTTGCACTGCTGCCAGAGGACAACGCCAATCTTGAGGCCGATAGAGTTGTCAGACAACCCAAGGCAAGAGACAAACAACACGCAACAGAATGCAATGCGTACAAGAGGCATGAGAAACCCTCCACTACAAACACTTGTAGTGTTAGCCGAGCATCAACACCAACCTTTAGAGAACCAACTAAAAGTCCAGAAGAGGCTCCAGATAGCCTGCAAGCACACAGTCAGCGCAGCCCTGCCTCTTCAGCCAGGTCAGGCAGAAGAGACAACAGATGCCAGACATGCAGCTGTGGCACGCCTCCACCATTTCCGCCGCCCTTCCATAGCAGCACCCCTTGCCCAGCACAGGCTTCCAATAGCAACAACACCCCTCAGCCCGCTGCAACGCCCAAATCACAAGATGCACCAAATCCAGAGGTTGAACAAGCAGCGTTGCCTGCACTGTAATGGGCTAGGCCCATTGTTAGCGCCTCGGCAACAGCACAGGCCTCGGTACCTCCGAAGCGGACGTACAATCTCCGGAGCGGGCCTGTAACCTCCGAAGCGGGAGTATTAGAATTCTGCAAGTACCGCTCTGGGACTTGCCCCTTATCAAATCCATCAAGTTCTACATCGCATATTGCCCTCAGCGGCTCGCCCCTTACATGCACAATCAATGCCCAGGGCCAATAGCCTAGCCACACCGCCTACCGAGCAAACGGCATACAATCTCGCAAAGCAACTGCGAAACTTCCAAGGCTGCACACATGAAGAGCACGAGGAGGCAGAGAGAAAACATCAGGAGCACCACAAGCAGCCAGATGTGCACTCTATCTGCGAGTGTCTCAAACAGATAACATGCCTTCTCAACGGAGTGCACAACGGGGGCAGATGAATAGGCAAATGGGGGTAAGGGTTAGGAATAAAGTTGTTGACCTGGTTGGCTGATATTGTAGACCAAGACTCCAGGAGTTCAAACATGCCCTTGCCTTGTTATGAGGTGCTTTGGTTGTAGAGTTATTGCTGTCGAAAGGTGCAATCTTGGTGATTGACAGCCTAATTGGGTATAGTTGGCC